TTCCTCTGGAGAGTGAAGCTCATAGAGAACAGAGACACAAGCTGATTAAGTAAACATTTAATCTGACAAAAAAGATTCACAGTGCTGAGTACAAAATACAGAAATAAATGACATACAGATAAATTGCAAAACAGTACATAAAATAAAATAGGAGAAAACACAAGAAATTCCTTACATATATTTACCCCATATATAGTTACATAGCTGAAAAGAGACTTGCGTCCATCAAGTTCAGCCTTCCTCACAAATGTTGCTGTTGATCCAAAAGAAGGCAAAAAACCTGGTCTGAAGCGCTTCCAATTTTGCCACAAACTAGGAAAAAATTCCTTCTTGACCCCAAAATAGCAGTCAGATGTCTCCTTGGATCAAGCAGCTATTACCCCACTAATTAGAATTATATCCCTGTATGTTATGTTTTTGCAAGTATTTATCCAATTTCAGTTTAAACATCTGTATGGACTCTGACAAAACCACCTCTTCAGGCAGAGAATTCCATATCCTTATTGTTCTTACTGTAAAAACCTTTTCTTTGCCTTAGATGAAATCTCCTTTCTTCCAGCCTAAATGTGTGACCTCGTGTCCTATGTATAACCCTGTTTATGAATAGATTTCCAGATAAAGGTTTGTACTGGCCCAGAATATATTTGTATAAAGTTATCATATCCCCTCTCATGCGCCGTTTTTCCAAACTAAACAGATTAAATTTTTTTAACCCTTGTAGAATTCTTGTGGGAGTGTTAGATGGTAGTTACCCCATATAGAATTCTTGTGGGAGTGTTAGATGGTATAGGTCTCCTAGAAGTTGTTGACAAAAGAAGATTTGGATCTCATATAAAGACAAGATCTACATAGCTACAGAACCATCACAAGTTAAAGATAAATCGATTGCCTGGGGCCTATGGAAGACCTAAGAACACAATATAATGACTGGATTATATGACTTTTTTTAAAATTTATTTTTTATTTATTTATTTTCATCTCTTCTCTCCTCCTTCTCATCCTATTATAAGGCATCCAGAGGAAGAGACAATGGAATTGAATATACACTGGTTATAGCTATTCAGCATTTTTTCACAAATAAAAGCACTATTGAAATATATTCATACAAAATGTGAAATCTCTAATATATCAACGATTTAACATTTTGTATTCTGTTAATAGATGGAATATAGAGTGGTTGTAGATATTTATTTTTCAATTAAAATAATTTTTTGAAGCATGTTCATACATGTAAAATGTATAATATAATAATCACTTAATATTCCAAACACCATTATGAAGTAATTGTCACTGGCACTATAGAAAGCGTTGGAGCATAACTAAATAAATTTAAGGGAGGAATTACATTGGTTTCACACACAGTTTCTTTCACATATAAAGCACTATTAAACTACAATCAGACAAAATGTAACATTTCTCATATAAGCTAATTGTATTACTCTAACGGAAAAAGAATACAGTGATTTTAGATATTAAGCATTTTCATTTTAAAGCACTATTGAAGGTGAAATATATAAAAAGTAAATTTATAAGGTAATATTGTCCTAAATGTTATAATTATTAGCATTAAAGAAATTATATGAGCATAACTAATCATATTTAAAAAAGACATATACCATGACTAATCTTGGGAAGTCACTTCATGTTTTGTTTTGTCTTTTGTTTTTTTTGTTTTCCTTTTTCACATTAAGCACTATAACACATATACCATATTTATCGGCGTATAACACGCACTTTTTCTCCCTGAAAATAGGGAGCAAATTGTGCTACACTCTGAAAAATTATTTTATTCATCTGTTCTAAATTTGCTAACATAATATAGAGTTCAGAAAGATCTTTCCCTTTCTCACGTTTCAACCATGCGCCTTTCTTAATGAAGTATCCTTTTAAATAGCTTTTCATTGAGCACCAGAGAGTTGTACCATTGTCATTTTGTTCTAAAAAATTCTTTGCAGTTACTTTTAGATGTACTTTACTGGCTTCTGAGGAGATAATTGTTTCATTAAGTCTCCAGTTATTTCTTGACTTATGTTGAGGATAATCTTTTATTTCAATCAGTACGGGAGCATGATCCAACTATATAATATTTCCTATTCTAGAATCTTTACAACATTCCAAAGCATAACTATCCATTAAAAAAAAATAAAAAAAAACGATTCTAGAGTAGGACTTATGTGAGTTGGAATAAAAGGTAAAGTCCTTGTACTGTGGATTCTGTACTCTCCAGATGTCATAGAGATTATGTTTAGCTAAAGATAGAGAACATTTCTCTGCTTTAGATTTTAATCTGTCATCATACGTCACTCTCTGTAGGCTCTTTTTATCTAATTCATAATTAGCTATGAAGTTTAGATCTCCTCCTATTATTGTAGTTCCTTTAGCAAATGTTTCAATTCTTTCACTGTTAAAATTTAGAAACCCTGTAGTATGATCTGAAGGTACATATAAATTTACCAATGTAAACAAATCATTAATACGACACACCAATGCAACAAATCTCCCCTCTTTATCAGATTCGTGCTAGATATATTCGAATTTATGTTTAGCTGAGATTATTAGCGCAACCTCTCGTTTCTTGTGTGTGTGTGTACCTGTGTGTCAGAGTGAATATGTACATGTGTGTCTGTGTGTCAGAGTGTATGTGTACCTGTATGTCAGAGTGTATGTGTAGATGTACCTGTGTGTCTGTGTATTTGTACCTGTGTGGCTGTGTACACGTGTGTTAACATGTACTTGTGTGTCAGCGTGTATGCGTATGCCTGCCTGTGTGTCTGTGTACCTGTGTATCTGAACTGGTATGTATATGTACCTATTTGCGTGTGTTTACCTGTGTGTATGTGTACATGTGTGTCTGTGTATATGTACCTGTGTGTATGAGTACCTGTTTGTGTATGTTTACCATTGTCTTTATATATGTACCTGTGTCAATGTGTGCCTGTTTGTGTATGTTTACCTGTGTGTCTGTGTATGTGTACCTGTGTGTCAGAGTGAATGTGTTCCTGTGTGTCTGTGTATGTGTACCTGTGTACTTGTGTTAGTGTGTATGTGTACCTGTGCGTAGTGTGTGCATAACTGTGTGTGTGGCAGTGCATACACCCGTGCATTCCAATGCCATCACTGCACTTGCATTCCAACGCTAACACTACACACAAATACACCCCTGTCCCCCCCACACACACAGTCACTTCCCTCACACACACTGTCAACCCCTACACACTGTCACCCCAAAACACATACTGCACCCCAAAACACATACTGTCACCCTCCCTCACACTGTCACCTCCTTCAATCTGCCACACTCGCATTAACTTCCCCAATCCTGTCACACCCACCCATGACACACTCACCTCCCATCACTCTGCCACACTCACCCTATCACATTAACCCCTCTAATTCTGTCATATTCAACCCCCACCCCAACCATGCCACAGTCACCCTGTCACATAAAGCTCCACTAATCATATCAGGCGCTCGCCACTCATCCTGTCACACTCCCTCCTCCAACCATGCCACACCACCCTGTCACATTAACCCCCCTAATCCTGACACACTTACATCCTCTCACCCTGTCACACTCCTCCCTTCAACCATGTAACGACCACCCCCAGTGGCGTACTAAGGGGGGGGCGGATGGGGCGGTCCGCCCCAGGTGCCAACAGGGTGGGGGGTGCCATGACCAGCCCCGCCACCCCCCCCCCCATGCTGCAACCGCCCGAGCGCTCTGTAGAGTGCCTCAGGCGGCTGCAGCTTTACCCGGGCGGTGCGTCCATGAGGGCGGACCGCACCGCCCGGGCGCAGCCTGAGGAGAGGCTGACAGGAGGGAAGCGCACAGCGATCAGCGCTCCCTCCTGTCAGCTTCCTTTGCTGTAGCGTGGCC